TCTTCTATTATTTACTGCTTTCAGCCTGAGTCTATCTGACATCAGCTGTGATATCCCTGATGCCATGGCCTCTTCTAAACCCAGTTTAACTTCTGGTAGGTAGTTCTCTGTCAATGTACTATTCTGTTTTTGGATGACCTTCAGTAATATTTTGCTTCCGTGTGATATTAATTATATTGTTCAATAATTTCCACATTCTGTTGGATCACTTTTCTTGGGAATGGGAACAAATATGGATCTCTTCTAGTCAGTTGGTCAGGCAGCTGTCCTCCAAATTTCCTGGCATGGACTGGTGAACATGCCCAAAGTGCATCTGTTAGTTGAAACATGTTGGTATTCCATCACTTTCTGGAATCTTTTTTTTTTTTTTGCCAGTGCCTTTAGAATAACATGACCTTCTTCCTTCACTATCATTGGCCCTTGTTCATTTGTACTTGCTGATTTTTTCAGTATCAACCTATTATTTTGTTTACAGTAACCATGTATTTCTTTCCATCTTCTTTTGATGCTTCCTGCATCATTCAAGATCTTACCCGTAATATCTCTCAGTATTGCAACTCATGGCTTAAATTTTTTTTTCATTTCTTTCAACTTCAGAAATCCTAAGCTTATTCTTCCCTTTTTATTCTCCAGCTCCAACTCTTTGCATGTCTTGTTATGTCTTCCTGACCTGCCTTTGAACCCTTCTGCTCATCTCTTTGATTTCAGCATTTCTTCCCTTTGTTCTAACTTCTCATTGCTCTAGTGCAAGTTTGCAGAGTCTCTTCTGACATTCATTTTGATCTTTTCTTCCTCTTCAGTCTTTTTAATGGTCTTTTGCTCTCTTCCTGGAGATATCTTTGATGTCATCCCATAACTCATTTGTTCTTTGATCATTAGTGTTCAGTGTCACAAACCTGGAGATTATTTTTAAATTGAGATGGAATAGACTCAAGGTTGTATTTTTGGTTCCTACAGACTTGTTTTTATTTTCTTCAGCTTCAATTTGAAACTGCACATGAGAAACTGATGGTCCATTCTGTTCTCGATGTCCATTTTTGCTTCTGTCCACTCATCCATTTATCCATTTGCTTAGGTTCAGAGTACCTCCAGGAGTACTGAGGATGCAATGTTATGTTTGTAACTGAAAGATAAATGGTTCAAATCCACTAGTCATTCTGCAGGAGAAAAATGGATAATCTCCTCCCATTAACTCTTAAACCCTCACAAACCCAGTGGAAGGTCATCGTGAGTTAGCTTTGACTTGACGGCACTGAGTGTGATTTTGCTTTAGGAGTACATTTTACGAACAGCTACAAATTGCTGACCATCCCAGCATCTGACATCATATCATCTTCAAATACGTGAACTCAGTGATCTTCATCATTTTATCTTTTACCCGCACACCACCAAGTATTAGGAAATTCACTTTCCCAATATCAATAAGTAGTAAAATCTAGCAGTCACTCCTCTACACTCAGCTTCTATTCCATATTTCTTCAAACCTAATCTCCCTTAACTCAAATAAGTCAGATCAGGAACCTGAACTTTCCATCAGTTATGTGACCAGTATTGTCATTGTGGTGTACCATCTGGTCAGGATAGATTCATAGCTGATCCTCCAGCGGGTTTTCAGAGATGGTAAATCACACAAGAGCTGATTGCCCATCTTTCTCCATGGAGCAATTGGCACGTTCGAACTGAACCTCTGTGCTGACAGGCGAAATTCCTTATCATTAGGCCACTAGATTATAGCTAATAATTATTTCTCCTCATCTTCTGGTCACTTTACTGGTGAGATAAGAATAAGGATGTCATGCACACCCATGTTTATCGCGGCTCTGTTCACAATAGCAAGAAGTTGGAAACAACCCAGGTGCCCATCAACAAACAAATGGATAGAGAAGCTGTGGTATATTCACACAATGGAATACTACGCTGCATTGCAAAACAAGGCACGCATGCAATATTATTTAAAATGGGTGAGCCTGGAGGACATTATGCTGAGTGAAATATCTCAGTCGCAAAAGGACAAATATTGCATGGTGCCACTGCTGTAAAATGGGACTGATATCAGGGTTGGGGTAAGACTGAGAAAAACTGGATAGATTGTGTATACTGCACTGAAACAGATGAGGGAGTGGATAATTTAAAAGCGGTATATGATAGGGTACTATGGTTATAACAAGAGTCCACAATTAAGGTTGCATAGTGGAATGTACTTGGGGCGGTGGGAAGGGTGTGGAGAGATTGTGTACCAAGGTGGGAGTGTTCCTTTGACTTTTGAAAGAGAGGAGCGAACTGGGGGGGAAAGGGAGGGCTGGGTAGGGAGAGCAGCACAGCAATGAATGAATGGAAATCCAGAGTCTCTCTAAATGTTCATTAAAATTATTTTAAAAAAGAATTAAGAATAAGAAAAAATGTAAAAAAAATAATAAGGATGTCATATCTCACTTCCTGATTTCAAATCCTACTACACTGCTTTGGTGGTTAAGACAGCATGGTACTGGTACAATGACAGACACATAGATCAATGGAACAGAATTGAGAACCCGGAGATTAGCCCATCTATCTATGGTCAATTGATTTTTTGAGAAGGAGATGAAATCAGTTAAGTGGGGAAACAACAGCCTTTTTAACAAATGATGTTGGCAAAATTGGAAAAGTATCTGCAAAAGGCTCAAGCAAGATCCACACCTCACTCCATATATAAAAACCAACTCAAGGTGGATCATGGACCTAGGACTAAAACCACAGACTATAATCTTAATTAAAGAAAAGCTTGGAAGAATGCTAGAAATCCTAATCCACAACATAAACAGTCTTCCAATTATTCTGAAAAACCTACAACCAGGACAAGACAAAATAGATGAATGGGATCTTCTAAGAATCAAATCCCTATGCACATCCAAAAACTTCTCCAACAGGGTAAAAAGGGAAGCCACAGACTGCGAAAAAGTATTTGGTAATGACACATCAGATAACGGAATTATATCCAGAATTTATAAAATACTTGAGTACCACAAGATTAAGGTAAATAATCCAGTTGAGAAATGGGCACAGGACACTTCACTGAAAAAGACATTCAGATGGCTAACAAGCACATGAAGAATGTTCAAAATCCCTAGCTCTAAGAGAGATGCAAATTAAAGCGACTATGAGATATCATCTCACCCAGTCAGAATAGCAAAATTTAACAAAATAGCAAGCAACAAATGCTGGAGAGGTTGTGGAGAAACTGGAATGCTTATTCACTGTTGGTGGGAGTGTAAAATGGTCCAACCACTGTGAAAGGCGGTATGGCACGGCACTTTCTCAAAAAGTTGCAAATAGAGATACCATTTGACCCAACAATCCCACTACTGGGAATATACCCCCATAGAGACCATAACTGACATCCAAGAAGATATATGCACAACCATGTTTATCGTGGCTTTGTTCACAGTAGCAAGGAGTTGGAAACAACCTAAGTGCCCATCAGCAAACGAATGGATAGAGAAGCTGTGGTATATTCACACAATGCAATACTATGCTCCATTGAGAAACAAAGAACTCATATAGTATTATTCAAAATGGGTGACCCTGGAGGACATTATTCTGAGTGAAGTATCTCAGTCACAAAAGGAAATATAGTGCATGGTTGTAAAGCAGGACTGACCTTGGGGTTGGGAGGAGTCTGAGAAAGATGGGTTCAGTAATGTAAACTGCATTGAAACGGATGAGGGAGAAAACTGTTTAAGAGGGAAAATTATTAGGTATTTTTGTCATGACAGGAGTCCGGAGAGAAGGCTGTATAGTGGAGTGGATCTAGGGGGAGGGATTGTAAAATAATGAAAAATTTTTCTTTAACTTTTCCAAGAGGGTAGTGTACTAGGGGTGAGGGTTGGGAGGGGAGAAAGGTGCAACAATGAATGAATGGAAATCCATAGTTTCTGTAAATTTTCATTGAAATTAATAATAAATTAAAAAAAACCACAACAACAAACATCAAGGAATAGAAGAGAAACCCTACCTGAACTTGAATAAAGACAATATACCTAGCTAAAAAAAAAAAAAAAGAATAAGGGTGTCAGAACATACCCCAGTGGAAGCATTTTATTAGTTTCTTACTGCTCTTATAACAAATTACCGCAAGGTTGGTGGCTTAAAGCTGCATAGATTGATTGTAATGCTATACTTGGGGCATGTTGCTGGGAGGGATTAGTCCTTAGAGAATTACATCATGCTTGGAAAGCTGGAGGCTCAGCACAGGAGAGGAATAATACCCTGGATGAGATGGATTGACAGAGTGACTGTGGCAGTGGGATCAAGTACATCAGTGATGGTAAAGTTGACTCAAGACAGGGCGTGGTTCAGAGCTGCTATTCATAGGATCACTGTGAGTCATAGTTGACCCGATGGCACATAACAACAGCAACAACAAAAATAGGGCAGAAGTCCACAGTGGGTCTTACTGGGCTAAAGCAAGGTCTTCTGAGGACTGTGTTCGTTTCTGAAAGTTCCATAAGTGATTCATTTCATGGCATTTTCTAGCTGCTAGAGACTACTGATATTTCTTGGCTCATGGCTCCTTCGTCCATCTTTGAAGTCAGCAGCAGCCCCTCTACTCTTTTTTGAGTAGCTGCCTACCTCCTATTCTTCAGTTAAGAGCCCTGTGATTGCATTGGGCTCACTTAGAAAAACATAGACAGATCAGCTCATTTACACCCTTAATTCTCTCTGCAAACTAATTCCCTCTTGCCTAGGTTCCAGGGATTAGGACATGCATACCTTTGATACTCTGCCTACCAAACACATGTATCCGAAAGCAGGGTTAAAACACAAGAGGAAACATGACAGTTCTTCAAATCCTATAGCTATGATCATGTTCTCTTAACCACATAAAACAGGGAGGTGGGGGGTTCTGTTTTTCAGTATTCCAGTCCTCTGAAGTCAACCTGAGTATATGAAAGAATGCTATTTATTTTACTGAATTCTACATGCTCTGACCTGGAAGCTAATTTGTGTACCTGTGTTTTCAGGTAATTGATGACAGAGACATAAAGGAACTGAATGTGCAGTGGCTGCGAGCCCACATGGGTATTGTGTCTCAGGAGCCCATCCTGTTTGACTGCAGCATTGGTGAGAACATCGCCTATGGTGACAACAGCCGGGTCGTGTCACAGGAGGAGATTATGAGGGCAGCCAAGGAGGCCAACATACACCCCTTCATCGAGACTCTGCCTAACGTGAGTTTCTCCCAAATTAAGAGCTCCAGAACCATGTGGCATCTTACTGATCCATAGTTTGGATTCTAAAAGGATGCTTTCTGAAGGTAACACAGAAAAATTCAAAACACATTTAAGCATTTGGCCATTTAGCCTAACCTCACTCAATATTATGCTCCCCTTTTGGCCCCTACTCTTCCTGAGAGGAAGGGGAGGGGAAGTATTGGGCCAGTTCAGATTTGAGAGAAAGGAACTTTGTAGGAGCGGGAGAAGTGAAACAGTTCCCCAGGTCCCAAACATCTAAGCCTGAAGCCCTTCCTTCTTTCTTTTTTTTTTTTAGATTTTTTTTT